CAGGGATGCGAGGCCTCGGGAGGGGGTGCAGGGATGCGAGGCCTCAGGAGGTGGTGCAGGGGTGCGAGACCTCGTGGGGGGTGCAGGGGCGCGAGGCCTTGGGAGGGCGTGCAGGGGTGCGAGGCCTCGGGAGGGGGTAGAGGGGTGCGAGGACTTAGGACGGGGTGCAGGGGTGCAAGGCCTCCTGGGGAGAGGCTCTGGGATGCGAGGCCTTCCAGGGGGATGCAAGGGGGCAAGGCCTTCCAGGGAGACCCCAGAGTGCGAGGTCTCTGGGAAGGGGTGGGGGGCATTACTTTTATTTTATTTATTTGCTCAGACTGTTGTGAAAAGCTGTTCACCGGTCTGGACAGGCTTGTCCCCAGCACCTGACAGCACCGCGGCTGGTGTGTGCGATGCACCAATGGGACACGCCTGCGGATCAGCGTGTGCTCTGAGGGGCCCGTCTTTATGGATATAACGTGAGCACAAATAGACTTACAAGCTCTCACCTCAGATGCCCACCACCAGGTGTCAACAGCATCCAGCCAGATGCACACCTGTCTTAAACAGGCCCCTTTCAATGAGACAAATGCCTGTCCCCTCCCTGTGCCAGGGGTTCACACCCGTGCCCAGGTGTTCACACCCGAGCCCATGGATTCGCACCCGTGTCCAGGGATTCGCACCAGAGCCCAGGGATTCACACATGGAAACGTGTCAGTTTCCTCTTCTGACAGTCTGTTTCCGTTTCCTCTGCTAAAGTCGGATGTCATGCTGCTCTGGTGTGGGTTAGTCGTTCCAGGGAAGGGGAGGTTACAGCCCGTCTGTTGTGAAACAGGGAGGCAGCGGCAGCCCCGGGGTCTTGCCCTGTGACACATTAGAATTGCTTGCCGATGGATGGTGCGTCCTGGCAGGGAGCTCTCTGCTCTCTCCGCAGAAAACACACATGCTTCCTGTGACAAATAAATACATAACCCTTGGATAAAGTCCGAAGGCCGTCTCCAGTCTGCTGGCGCCCATGCTGGAAGGCCGCTAGCTGTTAACGCCGTCAAAGTCAGGACTCCAACCTGACTGCACAGACGTAAACAGCGAGAAGTCCGCCTGGTAATACGAGCCGCGGCAGCTTTACGACAAGCAGCTCTCGGAGGCCCCAGCACGGACCCGACCCCAGGGCTCGCATCCATCGGCCGCTCCAGAGGACAACCGGCCCTTTGAGAGGAGGCGTCGATCTTGTTCTTAACCCCCAAAATATGCGCTGTTTTCAGCCAAAGGACAGCAAAGCTGTTTCAGGAATTCTTATTGGCCTCACTTCTTGAGGACGCTTCACCTCGGAAACTTCCACTGACCTCCTCTCTCAGGCGCCCGCGAGGAGCCGGGGGACGTTGCCTGGCAATCAGAACCGTACGGTACAGTGAGGCGGCTCCTGAAGCCCGTCGTCAGAAGAAGAGAAAATCTTAAAACGCTTTCAGAAGTCCAATCCGTGGGCAGCAAGACAGAGACAGATCGGGAGGAAAGAGCAGGGTGACTGGGGAAGAGGAGAGACGTGTTCACTTAGATGCGAGTGGGGGGAAGTGGTTTCAGAACATTACTCTCGGGAGATGACGGGGTCTATGCCAGCGTGAAGGCCACATCACCGTGCAACACTTTACACTCCTCTAATCCGCATGCCGACCGGGGGCGTGGGCATCAGCGGCCCCACTGTACAGATGGGGGAATCGAGGCACCGGGAGCCCAAGCTCTTGCCCAAGGTCACAGACAACCTGAACTCGGCAGTCCAGCTCCTAAACATGGCGCTCCCGCCTCTTCCACATCCACAAACGCAGCGAGTATGTGAAAAGAGGTGCAGGGTGCTGGGGGGAGGGGTGCAGAGCAGGGCGGAGAGGCAGGGGTCCACAGGAAGGTGAAGGCGGGTGCAGGGGGGTAAGATGCAGGGTGCTGGGGGGCTGAGTACAGAGGAGGGGGCAGGGTTCCGCAGGAAGGTGAAGGCGGGTGCAGAGGTGTAGGCTGCTGGGTGCTGGGGGGCTGAGTACAGAGGAGGGGGCAGGGGTCCGCAGGAAGGTGAAGGTGGGTGCAGGGGGGTAAGGTGCAGGGTCTGCGGGGGTACGTACACAGGAGGGGGGCAGGGGTCCGCAGGAAGGTGAAGGCGGGTACAGAGGTGTAGGCTGCTGGGTGCTGGGAGGGGGTTACAGAGGAGGGGGCAGGGGTCCGCAGGAAGGTGAAGGCGGGTGCCGGGGTGCCGGCCCTCGCCTGGGCTGTGAGGTCACACTGGAGACTTTCCAGAAGCCGGCACTGTTCTCCTCAGGTGTGGTAGCCAGGGGTGACGTGGCGGGAGGAGTGGCAGCACAGAGTCGCAGGCGGAGAGGAGGCGGGAAGGGCAGTTGGGTGGGTGTCACCGGCACCCCTGGGGCTCGGCCAGACCCTCCGTGCCCGCCGCTGTGCCCGAGGCCTCAGGCCAGCCCCGCCCCTGGCTCCGGCCCACTCCCCACTCCTTCGCCTCCTGGATCCCATCCTGTGTCTCTTCCTTTCTCCATCTTCCGCGTGTGCCGGGAGGGGAGCGGATCCCAGGGCAGGGGGCACTGGAGATGGGACGGGCCTCCGAGGTCCCAGGGGCACGGGGGGCCGGTCCCCGAAACCGGCCCGGTGACTTGCAGCTTCCCCAGAAGGAGTGGCATCAACAGCAGGAGGCCGGGTCAGTCCCCCTGGGGCACGCGCCCGACGGGAAGCCTCCTCAGCGGAGAAACGCACCTAACACCGTAAGGAGACCAAACTTTGACAGCACTTCGCTCCCTTCAAAATGAAATGAAATGTGAAACCTTCAAGTTAAACAAACAATTATAAGATAGTTTAGGTTTTCATCAATTTAGATACTCGCATGGTTATGCTGGGGGCTATCCGCTGAGCGCGTCAGTTGGCCATTTGCAAAGAGAGCACTTGTAAGCGTGGCCCAGCCTCCTGTCCCCAGCAATGTCCTTCCTCCAGATGATGCGGTAACGGCTTCCTGGGAAGCAGAGCGTCTGTCATCCGAATGTCGGGCCACCCGGACGCCTAGGCTCAGGAAATGACATCTTTCTTTTAAGATCAAAATTCATTTGAAAAATTAGACTGTTATGTCAAACGGCAGTCTGAGGAGACACGTGCGCGGAAGCGCGGGGGGCTGTCCCCTTGCAACAGGGGACAGTGCCCAAACCCCCTCCCAGGGAGCCCGCAGCTCCGCGTCCAGGGCCGCGTGTGCGGCATCCTCCGGCGCGGGGTCCACCGCCAGGGGCCGTGCGCCTCGGGGCGGTGAGGGCCCGTGCCCTGCTCGCGGGGCAGAGTGGGATCTCAGAATAAAATCGGCCCTGATCCCTCCTCCCAGCGGAGACTGTACGGCCCTCCCTCTCCACTTTCTTAATGGTTTCCTCACTACAGAGCCACAAGCGAAGGAGCCTGCCGGCCATCTCCAAGGTTTGGAATTAAATGTCCCTGACGTAAATCAATAGAAAGTAAATCAAAACGGAAAGGCCAATTATTTTTGCAGATGTCTTTGTGCAAAACAACTTTGCATTGAACTCTGGGCCACCCGGAGACTGCCGAAGGGGCCGCCTTCCAGCTTCAGGCTCACTAATGTAACGAAGGGCTTTGATGAGCAGACGCTGATGACAGCATCTATTAAAACGGAATCACAAGGCTGGCCCATTCACCTCCAAGAGCTACTAGGTAACAGAATTAGAGAACCCAGAATTCTAAGTGCTCCATTTCAAAGCGACAGGGATGTGGCCCTTGCAAACAGCCTGGCTGCCTGCTTCCCCGGCCCTGTTCCCGCGGAATCCCACATGCATGCGGGTCTCTCAGTGGGCCGCCTCCTCCAGGAAACGGGGGGAGCTGCGAGAAAGCCCCACTGGCAGCCAGCCCTTCCTCCCTCCAGACGCCCACTCCCAGGGCTCTGGGGCCTCCTGCACACAGCACAGCCCGCAGGGACTGGTCCACTGTGGTCCTGTGCCGTCACTTACCACCATTATCGCAGCTAGTGAAGCCGTTTCCTAAACTAATTAGCTCCTGGGTGTCAGTGGCTGGTAAATTATTTTTCACATTATCCCTTCCAAAAGTATTGAATTTTTAAATGGTAAGCCCCAACAACATAATATTTTAAGCAAAGGAAGAACTCTCTAATGGTAAAAATTCAGCCCCCTGAGCCAAGAAGAAAACAACTTAGCCTTTAAGGTGTTAAGGAGCCGCGTACTGTGTCGACATCTATGGTCGGTCCTGGGAACTGCAGGCCCCCGGCTGCATCTCCGCAGCGGCCCCTGGAGCGCGGGCAACGCAGCGGAACTGGGATTCTCTCCCCAACACTTAAGCTTCCACCTGCTCTTCCCGCTCCAAAGCCCATGCCGCTGTGGTTTATTCCGCACTGTCGTCAGACACACGAGTTCTTACTCACGAAGACGCATACGCCTGGGTGAGTGGGTGCAGGGGATGAGTACGTCCAGTGGGAAAGGGGACAGACCGACACCTGTCTTAAGGCTCCGGGGTCGTCTTTAAAAAGTCAGCAGAAGTCAGCAGTCAGCAGGCTGGGGGCTCAGTCGGTTAAGCATCTGACTTCAGCTCAGGCCATGACCTCACAGTCCGTGGGTTCGAGCCCCGCGTCGGGCTCTGTGCTGACAGCTCGGAACCTGGAGCTGCTTCGGATTCTGTGTCTCCCTCTCTCTGCCCCTTCTCTGCTCATATTGGGTCTCTCTTTCTCTCTCTACCTCTCTCTCTTTCTCAAAAATAAACATGAAAAAATTAATAAATAAATACAACAAAAAGTCTGCAAATGGAAACAGTATTTTTCGGTCATTTGCTGCAAAACATAACAGCAGTGGGAGTGAGTTTTTCTAAGTCGGTCTGACATGCAGAGCATGAGAAGGACAGAAAGAGACCTTCGCGCTGTTCTAAACGGACAGATTCTACCTCTTTTCTGGGTGCCCACAGTTCTCCGGTGCACGTCCCTGAGAAGAACAGAGACGAGGAGAGAGGGGAACCAGATCAAGTGGGGAATGGAGTTCAGACGGAAGAAAGAAAAAGTGGGTGTGAGCGTGTGTCTGTAACTATGCTGGGACCCCGGGCCTCCGCGGCGCCCAGACCTGTCCTGCACACGACCTTCTCTGCACGCAGAGAGCACGGCCCCTGACGTCCTTCCCAGGAGGACTTCAGGTGAAAAGAGAATGTCCTGGGCGAAGGTGACGTTAGCACCAAATGTGGGTAGAATGTTACTGCCATTCACACAGTCAGCCAAAAACATCTTGAAGTTAATTACACGTTATCCGGACAAGTGTACACGCGGGCAGGCTCCTCGTATCTGTACACACTTGCTAGCACTTTTGTTCTGATTTTTAAAGAACCTTGACTAATTCACTTGAGCACGAAGCTAATCCTCCAGCAGAGGGCTAAGTATAAAACAAGTAACATTCTCACACGGGTGACAGAAATGAGCAGACTGGGGGTCATTAAGCGCTCATTAGCCGCGTGTTGTCACATTAACTACGGGGTGTAACACCGATTTTCTCTTCTCTGTCAGGAGCCACCATGGTCCCGGTTCCCGGAGCAGGGCCCTGGGGGGCACGCTGCCCAGAGCACGCCCCGCTCAGCGCTGCCGCCTGGGCTCCTGCCAGCTTTCTCCCCGTTGCCCGGGGTCAGCAGCTCGCCAGGAAGGGTCCGTTACCTGGGTCTGTCGGCCATGGCGACGAGAAACTGAAATGATCAAGGATCAGAACAGGATTCTTCCCGTGCGCCAATATCCACGGCTGTGAGAGCCAGGGGTGTGGACACACGACTCCAGAGTCTTAGGTCAGCTACTCCAGACGCCTAGCGCCCCCGTTTCCATTCACTCGGCTGTGACCCAGGAAGCCCGCGCTCCCCCAGCGCGACATCTCGGTTGCCCCGCCCTGTCTCCCCGTTCGTCCCTCTGGCTGATGCTTTTTTTTTTTTAATGTTTTATTTATTTCTAGGAGAGAGAGAGAGACAGAGTGAGCAGGGGAGGGTCAGAGAGAGAGGGAGTCACAGACTGAAACAGGCTCCAGGCTCCGAGCTGGCAGTCAGCACAGAGACCGACGCGGGGCTCGAACCCACAAACGCGAGATCATGACCTAAGCGAAAGTCGGACGCTTAACCGACTAAGCCACCCAGGCGCCCCTGGCTGATGCTCTTTTAAACAAAAATCTAAAATCCTGCACCGAAGCTCGGCTAGCAGCCCCCTCCCCCGCAGCGATGTGCTTTGGGGCAGCTGGTTGGGCAGACGTGTCCAGCACAAGTGCAGTCAGGAGGCGATGCCGCCTCACACGACAGTGCACCTTGTCCAGCACATTCGATCGGACAGGGTTAGAGCCGAGAGCAGTATCAGATCCCTTACCTCAGTCAGGAGACTGACTGAGCCCAACAGAGCCTGAAACCTGGGGCTGGGCTCGGCGGGCATGTCGGCGGGGGTTTCCGGGGCCCAGCTTTGCTCACAGCGGGAGTGCAACGCGCCAGCCGGGGCCACGTCAAAACACGTCCTCAGAGGAGACGAGGAAGCCGAACCAGTGAAGGAACAAATAGATGGAGGGACTGAACCAGTGAATGAATGAATGAATGAGTAAATGAATGAATGAATGGAGGGACTGAACCAGTGAACGAATGAACGGATGGAGGGACTGAACCAGTGAACACACGAATGAGCGGAGGAATTTCCTCACGTGGGCAAACCTTTCCCCGCTGCTCCCACAGAAGAGGTGGCGTCCCCTTATTCTTCTGGTTTTGTGGCCCCCTCCCCCTTGGGAGTCCCTGTGGAGGGACGTCTGGATGCAGAGCTGTCATCGGGGCCCATCGAGGTCAAGTGGGCGCCCCCGGGGACACAGCCCGCCCTGATGCGGCCTCGGGCAGGTCAGCAGCCCGGGCAGGAAGGGCCACTGGCACACCGCGTGGCAGGCCTCCACCCGTGCCAGACGCAGGTGCCACCTCGTGAGCACAGGTCCCAACCGTTAATCTGCAAAGCGCCAGAACTCTGTGGTTCTGACACAGTTAATCGTTCCCAGGACTCTATTTAAAGCGTTCTGAAGACAAAAGTAAGAAGACAATTATACAGACTGCAGCGACCAGAGAGAGAGGAGCAGGGGAAGGGAGCTCAGAGAGCCAGCAGCAGTGTCACACAAACAGCTCCGCAAATAACAGCGCAGGGCCGCTAACAGCCGCGGGCACACCTGAATGCACCCGCACGCCCGATTAAGCACTGACAACATCCGCCCATAAAGGAAGATTATAAGTTGTAATATGTCTTTGCAAGAAGCAGCGTATTAACCACTGTTTGTATACTTCTCCAATTAGATTCCTGTAATTCTTCCATTTAGAAAACGGTTTACATTATAATAGCCAACATCACTTCTGGTTTTGAAACAATTGATTATATGTATTCCGCCAAATGAGGGGTCTGCGGGATATTTTCATAAGCGAAAACAACTCTGAGCGCTCATCCAGAGGATCTTTAACTGGGGCGTCTGGCGACGTGCAGACAGACTGTCACCTGCTCCCACTGCCCTAGGCACCCCCAGTCGGTGGAAACGTCCCACTTTTCCCTCTCAAGTTTTCCGGGAGCAGAGGTTTGTTCTCTGGACCCGAAAACCAGAACGACGGCGGCGGCCACAGCTGCGTCCTGGCCCCTGGGCTCTCTGCCCCGCAGGCCGCAGCCCTCCGGGCCGTCACACCGCCCAGGTGTGAGCCTGTGAGGCCAGGGGTTCCTCCTGCAGCCAAAGGTGCCTCTTCCGTACCTGACCCCCAAATGCTGCCGACCCCACCCGCCCAGAGCCGGCCAGCGTGGGGGCTTCCCGGGAGCGGGAGCCGCGCAGCAGCCACAGCGCAGCCCCAGAGACGCGGCGTCGGTGAGGATGAGAGCGAGCCGCTGAAGGAGGGCCAGGCGAGGGCACGGCCAGGTGGGGCAGAGATGGCCCCCGGGCCGGACACAGCCCAGCGAGCAGGGGCTATGTGACGAGAGGAGGGGACATCTGTCCTCGCAGGATGGCTCGGAAGCCAAGGCTCGGGGTGACTTGTCTGAGGTCACCAGCCAGTACGTGGCTAAGCCAGGAGCTGAGTCAGCCCGGGTCCTGGTGCACCCGCCTCCGCCCAGCTTGGCCACACTGCACACGAGCCCCCCGGTGTTTTCCAGGAAAGTACGTGTGGACCTCTGCTGGGGAAACTGAAGGCCATCCTATTTCCTAGTCTTCTCATGAAGCGCAATGAAACCTGGCGGTGTTACTGTAAAACAAATGTGAGAATTCTCCAGAAGACGCAGAGATGGCCGAGGACGAGGGGCCCCATGACCTGAGGGACAGCAGGGCAACGGGTCCCCTGCGTTCTCAGGGTGCCCCGTGAATCCCAGCGGGGTCCACCGGAGAGGCTGGCGACACGGAAACACACACAGACCCAGACAAGCGCCTGCGCCCTGCAGCAAAACGGCCGGGACGTGGGGGCAGCCTCACGAGACATCGACATTTCCACAGTACAACATCTGTGCTCCAGCCAAACACCCCCCAAAACTGTCCCCTGTCCCCAGCCGACCAGCAAAAGTTGACGGGGGCCTAGCCGTGCACCCTCACTGAGCTATAAAAAGTGCCCAACTCACTGTTCCGGATAGCGGTGCGGTCCCCCGCCCCCCCCCCCACGCCCCACAGCAGTAATGATGGCTCCAGGGCAGTGGCCGAGGCCTGCCTACGAAGGGCAATGTCTGAATGACCTCGGAGTCTTATAAGGTGACGTGTGCTCTGGCCAGGTGTCTGCCAAAGACCAGTCACCGCACCGGCACAGGGCAGGTCCCAAACGCAAGAGAGAACGCAAACAGACACCAACACTGATATAAGGCGAGTGTCAGAACCACCTGCTGAGGACTTGAATGCAGTGATCGTACAAATGCTTCAACAAGACTTTACAAACGTGCTTGGCACAGGCGACAAACAGAAAGTCTCCACAAAGATACAAAAGCTTTCACCAAATTAACAGAAAATATAAAGAACTAAGTGAATATTTTATTTTTATTATTTTTTTTAATGTTTTATTTATTTCTAGGAGAGGGAGAGAGACAGCGTGAGCAGGGGAGGGTCAGAGAGAGAGGGAGTCACAGACTGAAACAGGCTCCAGGCTCTGAGCCGGCAGTCAGCACACAGCCCGACGCGGGGCTCGAACCCACGAACCGTGAGATCATGACCTAAGTGAAAGTCGGACGCTTAACCGACTAAGCCACCCAGGCGCCCCCTAAGTGAATATTTTAGAACTCAAAATACCATAGCTGAAGATCTAAAAAACTTACAAGATGGGCTCAATAGCAAGAGAAGACAGAAAAGGATCAGCAGCAGAGAAAAAGGTAAAAGAAGAGAAAATCTTCATTGTAACTGACCATATTAGCAAACTAATGAAGAGGGAATCACGGTCATATCAATTCCGGCAAGAAAAAATTTTTGACAGTTCCTTCCAGATTGTTCTAAAGGTTTAACAAAATTCTCGTCGGAATCCCAGCAAAGTTCTTCTGCAAGTATAGACAATATTATCCTAAAAATCTATAAAGATTATACGTGATAACTATAGATTATAAATTATAAAAAGTTTAGAAGAGAAATCTTCCAGGTCTAGGGCTTAGGGAAGAGACGTGACAGTGATGTAAAACATCAGCACACTGTGTGGCACGTTCTGATTGGGCAGATCTGGTGGTGAAAGAACTCACCCCCCAGAAGAGAACAAAGGGGGGGGGCAGGACAGCAGAGAGACTGTCCACCAGGAGGCGATGGTGAGGCGCCATGGTTATAGGGTGAGGGAGGAAGGGTGGGTCGTAGGGGATCTCTCCTTCTTCGGTAATCTTAGGAGCTGTGTTTGGTTTTGGCAGCACGCTGGTCCGCTGGGGCCGATGGCTATTTCAGGGTGGGTCACTTACCGGGCCTCCTGCATTCAGCCTGGTGGTAGTTCTAGGCCCTTCTACCGTATCAGGTTTCCACTGCTCACGCCCGTTGCCTTCAAGCAGCCTCTACACATTGGATTCAGCAAAAGTAGAAACAACTTGTTCTGCAGAAGACCTTGTAAAGAAGACCAAAGCTAACCTGCTGATGGCGAGAAACTGCTGGCAATTCGAAGATCTAATAAATACTCATATTTAGTTAGAAGAAATAGATAAAGAACTGTCAAAATTCAACAGTAAAAGAAACCAGAAATTCAACCAGAAATGGGCAAAAGACACTGCTGTCTGTGGAACAGAGGCCCCCAGACACATGTCACACGTCCCGGCCTGCAACCCCAGAGCCTGGCAGTTTTTCGAGTTAACACGGTCACGGTGCAGTTGTAGATGGAATGAACACGGCTAATCATCTGGATTTAGACGGAGGGGTTGTCCCTGATTGTCCACGTGGGCCTGTACTAGGATTCTCCAGGGAAACAGAGCCAAGAGGTGGGGTAGCTGTAGACAGAAAGGCTTATTTTAAGGAATTGGCCCACGTGACTGTGGAGGCTGGCGGGTCTCCAATCTGCAGACTGAAGACCCAAGGAGGGGCCGACGCTGTGGGTCAGGTCTGAAGGGCATGTGCTGGAAGGTGCCTCTTGCTTGGGAGAGATCAGTGTTTTTGCTCTAATCAGGCCTTCAACTGATGGAATGAGGCCCACCCCCATTATGGAGAACAGTCTGCTTTACTCAAAGTCCAACAGTCTGAACATAAATCTCCTCAAAAACAGCCTCACGGAAACATCCCAAATAACATTTGACCACATTCTAGGCAACGTGGCCCAGCCAAGTTGACACCCAAAATTAACGTGCACAGAGCCCCTCGAAACCTCCAATCTGCAGACATGTGCAGTGCCCTCCAGGATCACTTCAGAGGCAGGAAGGAAACCTAAGCAGAAAACCTTCAATGGCTCTCCATTTCAGCAATAAAAATTTCAAACTCCAAGAGATTGCTGGTGGGCCAAATCATCTTTTCTTTTTTTTTTTTTTTTAACATTTCTTCAGTTTTGAGAGACAGAATGAGTGGGGAAGGGGCAGAGAGACCGGGAGACACAGTATCTGAAACAGGCTCTGAGCCGTCAGCACAGAGCCCGACGCGGGGCTCGAACCCACGAACCGTGAGATCATGACCCGAGCTGGAGTCGGACGCCTAACCGACGGAGCCCCCCAGGCGCCCCAGGGCCAAATCATCTTTAGAGTCATTACCGGGGTGTAGGAGGCACGGCTGTTCTCTCGCCCAGGGCCACCCCGGGGCCCCCACCCCCGTCTACACAAGAGCACTGGCCTGGGCGGGCCAGCCGCCACCGGGAGCGGGGGCAGGCAGGGGTTCTGGATGGGCGGGACCCGGGGAGCCAACGGATGGCTTCCTTCGGGGTTTCTCACCGCTGCTGACGGAGAAGAGCCCAGAACCTCCCAGGGAATGAGCTGCAGGCCACGCGGCCACGCTCCTGCCTTGGAACCAAAGTCCAGCACCAGCGCGAAGGCGGGGCTGACGCCGAGCAGGGCGCGGGAGGCGCGGGCGCACCCGGGGCTCTGCTCCTCCCGGACCCCGGAAGCGCCGCCCCCGGCGCCCCAGGGGACACGCAGCCCCTCCGGCCTCCTCCGAGGCACCTCTTCTCACTCCAGCTCACTTTCGTGGGTTCTGCCACATGCCCTTTGAGTCTCGATTACCACCCCGCCCCTCAGGCCTCGGAGACTGTAGGACCGAGGAAGAAGGTTCCAGAACAGGAAATGAGCACGCTAAGGGGCTCTCATACCCAACTACCCCAGTCAGCCTCCCTGCTTCCTTCTTCCTAGTCACACACCCCCGACATGGCCGTCCTCGCACAGGGGGCAGGACCCCCCCTCACTTCCCGCCTTGACGTCACAGTTCCCCAGACACGGCCCAGCCTGCACGCGAGGCGGGACTAGGCTCACTTCCCGCCTGAAGTCACAAGTACCCCGACACCGCCGTCTCCCCAGGTCTGCAGGGCGGGCCCCGCCCTCTTCCTGCCGTGACGTCACAGGTGCCCCGGATACAATGCTCCCCACGCGGCCGGCCCCCCTTCCTGCCGTGACGTCACAGGCCCCTGGCCCTCCCAGGGTGTCTTGGAGACCGGGGTCTTCAGGGGAAGGCCTTCCTCCTCAGGCGGAGGGAACATGGCGGGAGGCGGAGGAGCGGCCCTGCTCGTCCTGCTGCTGTCCTGCTGGCGCCCGGCGGAGCCCCAGCCCGTCAACGTGACCTCAGGTACCGCCGCGGGGGCGCGGGTGTGGGGGGCCGCGTCAGGCCCCTCCCCGCCTCCCCCGTCTGCCGTCCGTCGCTGGGGGAGGGTGGAGCGAGCTGAACAGCTTCCCTGTCGTTGACGTCCTTCCTGAATTCCGGAACTCCCCGGGGGGAGCCCGTGAGACGTATTTTCACGCCTTATCGTAGAAAATTCCTGGGGCGCCCGGTGGTTCCGTGGGTTGAGCGTCCGACCGCGGCCGTGCGCTCGGGTCACGATCCCGGCTCGGGGGTCCAGCGCCGCCGTGGCTCGTGCTGGTGCGGAGCCTGCTTGGGCTTCTCCCTCCCTCCCCCCCCCACGCACATGCCCCCCCCCAAATACGGAAAGAAAGAAGGAAAACGTCCAGCCCCCGAAGTCGGGGCCGCACAGAGGCCCTGCCGCCCGGTCCCCGCGGCCGACGGGCCGTCGTCCGGCACCTTCTGCGCGCGCCGCGCTTCCTGGGGCCGTGCGGTCCCGGCCGCCGCGTCCGGCCGCCTCCCCGGCCCCCCCGCGAGCGCGCGGCGCTTCTCCCTCACGCGGTGCCGCGGCCGCGCGGAGGCTCCGGGTGCGGACAGCCCGGCCGGGGAGGCGCGGGGCTCGGACTCTCCGGAAAGGACGGCGGGGGGGGTGCTCCGTGGCCCCCTCCCCGCCTCGTGCCAGGAGGCTCCGTGCTCAGGCCGCCCGCCCCCTGTACGCCTGCCACAGAGGCCGCCAAAGACGGAAGGAAGGGGGCTGAGACGGTCCCCCAGCTGCCAGGGGTGGCCGAGCGGGCCCTGAAGGCTCACCCACAGGGTCCGGGGGCTCCTGGGAGAGCAGGGCCACGGGTGCTGCCCGCGCCCGGCCCGTGTCCCTCCCGCCCTTGCGGCACCCACGCGTCGCCGGAGCCGGGCCAGCTGGACACGGTCGGGCACGAAGCCAGGTGGTCCTGAGTGGAGCGAACATCCCCAACTTCCTTCTCGTCGGCGAACTGAGCTCGGAGGCGCTTCCCGCGGACAGTGTCCTGGGCGGCGCTGTGGGTGCGACGGGGCTGTGACAGGCGGGGGCCGCGTGTCACCCACGCCAGGGCACGTCCCTCCAGGCTGCTCCTCCCTGCTCACGACTGTGGCCTGACTGTGGCCTGCCGGTGCCCTCGGGAGATGCTCCCAGCGCCCACTGACGAGCTCCCCTCCAGCCCTAAGCCAGCCCCCCGACCCGGTCTCCTGCCCAGACACGGACACTCGTAGGTGACCGTCGGGTCTTCCCCGCCTGACAGACAGTTCAGGGCCGTCTAAATCGTTTTCTGACAGCACACGTGGGGTGTCCATCTGGGCGTGTGGCCGGGGCCCAGGGGCACGGGAGCCCGCGCTCTGGGGTCCCGAACAGACCGGCTCCGGCCGCCGACAAAATCCAAAGGTGGAGAGGCGGTGGTGCCCGAGGAAGGGATTTATTTCGGTGACACGGACTCCAGAAGACCTCGCGGACTAGCGTCTCCAAGACCGTTTCCACGTGCGAAGTCACTTCCAGGTTTATCAGGAAATGCGGCAGAGGCCGGTGGGCACGGCAGGTGGGGGCGCCCGCAGGGCCATCGCTGGCGTGGGGTCCGTCCCGGCCGCTCGGGCAGGCCTTGTGCTTGAGGGGCAGCTTCCGTTCCCATCAGAGGTTTGCCCTCCGAGTCTTGCCGGAGTTAAGAGAGAAGCTGGAAACGAGGACTTCATCTACTAGAAAGTCTGGGGTGAAAACGGGGTGGTTGACGTCCCCCTTCGCGTCTCTGGGGGCTGACTGCCTCCGACGGCACTGGTGCCGCTGGCCACGCGGGTCAGCCTGGCCACGAGGAGAGATGGGAGCGGCAGCCACTGGCCTGGTTTGCCTTGTTTTCCCCAGATTAACCAGAGCCCAACCGCAGAGGTCAGCAGCGAGCCCTTCCCGGTGTCCGGGATGCGCACTGTGCAAATACGGAGGAGCGGTCAGGGATCCTGGGGACTCCGGCGGCGGGCGGTTTGAGGCCGAGAGACTGTGGGTCAGAGGTGCCAACAGGCGAACTTCGCCACAGCCGCCGCCGTTGACAATGCGCTTTACACCCCGTGCGGGGATTCTACAACATAAATATTTTTCTGCACACGCTTGCCGGCTGACTTGCACAATACTTCCATTATAATCACGGGACAGACACGAAATGAAAGGAATATTTTTAACAAAGTGCTCGCACGACGCAGCTGTGCCCATTCTTAATGACTCATTAATGCCTCATCCACAGAGAACTGTACTTTTGTTTGCTGCGTTGCAAGGAGGTCAGCACACTGGGAACGATTGTCATCTCCGCGCAGACCTCCTTACAGAGATTTCCCGCATTGTTCTAAGCCCTCCGTGTGCAGATGAGCCCATTGGTATGCAGATTGTCCGTCATTAAAGCCATTTGAAAATCAGCGTCGTCATTGGTTTACTGTTGGAAGGAACGGAGAGTCTGCAGACGCCGCGTGCGGGCTCCGTGCAGCCCGGCAAGGTGGCGCTGCCCGGCGGGCCCTGGGCGTGCCCTCTCCTCTCGGGCAGCCTGCCGCTCCCGGGGGCTGGAGGGGAGGCCGACCTTGACCCTGAGTCAAGGAGAGGGACCAGGACACCCCCGCTCTGAGCAAGAGGAGGAGGAGGGAGCCCCCCGCTGGTGTCACCATGTGGAAACCCTCACACAGGCACCACGCGGGGCCACGTCCCCCGCGTGGCCGGGAAGCCTGGGGATCGGGCGTCGGGACCCAACGGAAGTCTACCGCGGCCGGCTCACTCCTCGGACCCCGCACCTTACGAGTACGCCAGTCTCCTGGAATCGCTCTGCTTATGAAGGGGAGAGAGCAGGCGGCCGGTCTCTCTGGGATCCCGCCCCAGACCAGAGACCACCCCCACCCCCCAAACCACGGCCCGAGGCTCCCAGAGGCACTGGCCACGGAGCCGGTCAGAAAGCACGTGCGCACCTCTTGGTCGGTCGTCCCCGGAGCACGTGCAAGGCAGTCCTCCCGGGAGCGGGGCGCGTGTTCCCTTCTGAGGGACGGGGCCAGCGAGCAGCGCCCCCCAGGGCACGCGCCTCCGCCCACACGGCCGCCTCGCCCGCGCTTCGCAGCCGGGAACCCGGCCCTGGAGCCCCGTGCAGGCCTCCTTCCCCGGCAGCGGGCTGGTGTGCGCCTTGGAGAGAGGTCGGTGCCAGGGCAGTGAACTGTTACACTATCAGGGTATTTATTTCCCCCCTAGGTCCAACCACTGAAATGCCACCCAGTTCTAAAGGTCAGGAGGATATACCTGGAGTATTTGGTAAGGAACCTCCTCGTATCAGTGTCCGCTGTGAACTTGGAGGGGCGGGTGCCTGTGAGCGGGTGTTCCCCAGGTAGCCTGGTGCTGCGGGCACAGGCGGAGGGTGCGACTTGGTCTGAGGCTGGAATCACTTCCACCTAAGAGTCAAACTCCCAAGAATACAAGAAGGAAGTAGAATTTTAGGTCATTAGACCTAAGAAGGGCCCGAAAGTGAGTCCCAGCCCAGCAAGCCGCATCAGCCGGAGCGAGCTAGAAACACCCAGCAGGCGGCTCTTGTGTCCTGGGAATGCTGATTCCAAGGCTGCCCAGCACAGGCCCCATGCACCCTTTGAAAGTGTCAAGCAGCAATATGTTTTGTACATGTTTATTTTTGAGAGAGAGCAAGGGAGGGGCAGAGAGAGGGAATCCCAAGCAGGCTTCCTGCTGTCAGCGCAGATCCTGACACGGGGCCTGACTTAACCATGTGAGATGGTGACCCGAGCAGAAATCAAGTGTCAGATGCTCAACTGAATGAGCCCCCAGGCGCCCCGTCTAGTAGCCAGAGTTTCTTTAAGGAAACAGGTGAAACTCAATCATGTTTTGTTTGATGTTATCATTTCAACGTATAAACAACACGAAAGAACCAATGACGTGTTTTCAGCCTTTATCACGCGGGGTCTGCAGTGTGTTTCACGCTTGAGGATGTGTCAGTGGGGCATGTGTGGACCCAAGTGGCCAGAGCTAGGGGCCCACTTCCTGTCCAGCCAGGACTTCACATTCATGGAGGCAGAGCCCGGAGAAGCCCCCTGGGCAGAGGGAGGACTGCCAGCTGACACGCGGAGTCTCCCTCCTGTGGGGATGGCCTTCTGCTGGGGCTGTGGGCTGCGCCCCCGCCCCCGGGCCTGAGCGGAGCCCCAGGAGCTCAGGCAGCTGGGGGCCTGCGGGTGACCGGGCTCTTCCCGGCAGCGCCTCTGCCACGATGCTGGACTTGAGTCCCGGGAAATCTTCTCCGACTGCCAGAGAGATGCTGGACAGATAGACAGACAGGTGGATTGGCAGACTACGTGAATGAGTGAATGAACGAACGTTGCATTGTGGCCAGGGCGACCATTGTCAGCTCCTCCCTGCACTTTCTGCCCCAGAATCAGAGGACGCGGTTCCAGTGCCTGCAGGTGGCTCTGTCCTGTGAAGCAGGTCCCGGCTATAAAACGAGGTGACATCCGCACTGGGTGTGGCTCAGGCCTCGGGGAGAACTCGGTGGAGGCCCCTGCCCTGAGCAAGTGTGAGCTTCAAGGTGTGAGCTGCACACCCTTAACACTGCTATGTAAGCCTGAGGGCGCCAGGCCTGGAGGGCGAGGCCTAGTCGGGTGAAGGGCCCAGCAGGGATGGGGCGCCAGCGGGGCCACAAACGCCCCTGAGTTTCCTGGAGGGTCTGACCGCCCCGGGACCCATGGGACAACAGTCCTGACGCCGGCACCTCCTCCACCCCATGGGCCGACCCCCGAGTCCCGACCGCCGTGGAGAAAGTCAGGAAGGATGAGTCCCGGGATTTCTGATGGCCTAAGCCCAGAGGGGGGCTGAGGCTCTCGCCCACCCCACTTCTCCCGGGTGCTAGGGGGGGACGAGGGGGGACAGAGTAAGATATTTGTGTCTCTGGAAATAAGCGAGGCCGCCACGTGACAACGGCAGGTGCTGCTGATTCAGGGCACAGTGTTGCCGGGCCTCCGCCAGGCCACCACCATGTGCGTGTGGCAGAGACTCGGTGGGGGGAGAGCTCAGGGGGGAAAAGAGGCACTGGTGGGGGGAGCCCCGGGGCAGGCACTGGCCCTGGCACAGATGGGGGGTGTCTGGGGGAGGTGCTGGTCCAGGATGACTGGGGAGCATCTGAGGGGGTGCTGGCGGGGGACAGACAGCTTAGGGGGGCCCCGGGGAGGCCTCCACCGTGGTCCCCGAATACTGAGAGCTTTCCAAGTAACAGCTCTCATACGAGAGAGTTGCATACCAGTATGCAAACCTCATAACGACCCTGAAAAGACAAAACAGACCCATTTTACAGAGGAGAAAACTGAGGGTCCGCGTGGACGCTGCCTGGATCACGATCCAGAGAGAGAGAAACCAGAGCGTGGGCCCCGTGTGGCTGACGCTTACGGTACAGCTTCCTGGGAGAGGCCAGGGAGACGTAGAGGGAGACGACCGTGCACTCTGCAGACTTGGTGAAAGACAGGGTGCTTGCCGGGGGACGGCTCAGGGTGTCTCAGAGGGGACAGGACGGGGCAGAGGGTAGAAGCGAGACAGCACCCAGGCCGGGCTTTCTAGCGTCGTGTCTTTGGGGAACTGTGTTTGTCCGGGGCGTGTGCACGCCCTCGGGTTTTCAGGAGTCGCTGCGGCGGCCGCGGTCTCCCACCCCAGACGAGGCTCCTTAGAAAGCCCGACCCGGTGTCCGCGGCGCCCTCACTTCACAGGCTGCCTTCCGTCCCTGTGGAGCAAAAGGCGCCGCTACACTGGCTCTAACGTGTCCTTCTGTGCTTTTCCCAAGATGAAATTCTAGTCCAAGAGATACTGGAATCAAGTAATTTGTCATTGCTTTTGACACAAAGACCGCTATTGACATCAACAACGACTGCGAAGAAAGCAAGCAAGTATACCTTTTTAAGTCTCTGATCGCACGTATTCCTAGGTCTGTGGTTGTGAAGACACAGTCCCGTCATTTTACGTTCCTCAAGCGCAGCCACTTCTGGGGCAGAAGCGAAGGGCGATGTGCAAGAGACAGTTGTCCCAAACCATCTGTGTAGCCACGTGGAGGCTGCGGCGGCCAAGCCGAGGCCGACAGACGGTTCCTCTTGTTTGGGGAGGTGTCGGGGTGCGCGTGCAGGCAGGCTCGGTGCGCCGGGCCCGGGGGGGTTTAGCCGATGCAGGAACGGGGGGGCATGGAAACAGGACCCTGCCACCGCCCGGCACCCTGACGCGCACCTGAGCGTTCTGAGGGCGCGGCCGGGGACACTGACCCCTTTCCACGCGGCCAGGACTGAGGCCTGGGGACCTGCCCGAGGCCACACGGTGAACAAGGACGAAGAGCGCGCTTTTCCAGAGCGCCGCGTCCTGGGGCCCAGGCTGCGTGTAGATCAGGACACAGCGTTTGGGCCCCTCGCTAAGGGGAGAGCCCGCAGCAGGAGTCTACACGCGCTGCCTGAACTGCATCCGCAGCCGGGGAGGGAGTTCAGCACCTTCTTGAAATTGTGCGTCCGGATGCAGATCCCGGTTCCTGGGACTCGCGTCACCCAACATCTGCTGGGGCCCAAACTGCCGGGTTCGCGGCGGTCAGATGACGCCTGACTCTGTTACATGTTAACCTTCCGAGGCAGGTTTTCAGCAGAACTTGACAACTCTGTTAGCATTCCGTAAAATACAGTGTGGACCCACGTGTGCGCGCGTGTGTAATCAAAACCTCGTTTCCTTTTTTTTTTCTATGGTCTTCATTGAAGATGCTGCCACAGATGAAAATTTTCAAGTTGGTGGCCGTCAGAGTTATCAGGGACTCTCAGATAATTCACAATTCTCTATTGGCAGTGAGGACAAAATTTTCAATAATGGTAAATGCAACCTGGTCATGCCCTGCCTTGCAGGGGGGAGGGGGGACAGAGGAGCACAGATGTGGACGGGGACGCCCCCGTCATGGAGTACAAATGCGTGGCTGGAGAGAGGTTGAGGCTGCTTCACCCCACTTGGGCAGATTTCCCGTCTCAGTTGAGGAGCCGCCCGCCCACCACCCTGCCCGTGGGTCTGACCCTGGAATAGCAGAGCCTGGCAGGAAGGTCCCATCAGGCAGTGGCCGCCAGCGGGGAGGAAGGACCACTACGCTGCCCGCCCCTCACAAACGTCAACTGAGTCCCTGCCCCTCCCCGGGGATCGGGGGTTGGGCGGGAAGAGCCAGTGTCCCCCCGCTTAAAGCCGGCCCCCCAGAGTGGGGGAAAGCGTCCGTCCAACAGCCAAGCTTGCTGGAATGAGCCAGTGTGCCGAGGCTCCGAGGCTGAGGAGCCAGCCAACTGCCCCCCGTGGGCTGGCACATCTTCAGCTCACCGGAGAGAAGCAAGGTGCCAGGGTGGCTCTCAGAGCCTGGCCCTTGACGGCTTGTGGCAGCCCCCACGGCGGGACCTTGTAACACGGTGGCTTTGTGTTTGTACGACTCCTGCTGTGTTTGTTCATTGGGATTTTAGCCCCGAGGAAGAGCTTGTCCCTTATTTATTCATTCACTTGCCTTTGCTGTTCACTTACCCAGGTTTGCCCGGTGCAGGGGGTCGTCCCTCCATGTGGTCCTGTTGCTGTGCCCCCTCCTTCCGAGCGCCTCCCCGCTTTCTGGCATCACGAGGTGTTCGGGCGCCTCTCCCTCCTGCTGCCCCAGCCCCGGAGTCTGATCTCCTCACCAAACAGTGGAACTTAGAAACAAAGAAGTGGGTGTCAAGCGGACTTGACTAGAATGTCTTGCCTCCTACAGCAGGCAGGGCGGGGAAGTAGGTGACCACACATGGAGATACGCACACAGTGCACACGCAGAGACGTGTGCACACAGGGACACATGCAGGTGTGCACGCAGAGGTGTGTGCACACAGGGACACACAGGTGTGCACACAGAGGTGTGTGCACATAGGGACACGCAGGTGTGCACGCAGAGACATGTGCACACAGGGACACACGCAGGTGTGCACGCAGAGGTGTGTGCACACAGGGACACATACAGGTGCGCACGCAGAGACGTCCACACAGGGACACGCAGGTGCACACGCAGAGACATGTTCACAGACGTGCACACAGCTGTGTGTGTACATGCAGATAACGTGTGTGCACACAGGCACATGTGCACACAGACGTGCACAAGCACACAATGCTCATGCAGAGATGTGTGCACACAGGCACGTGCCAACGTGTGTGCACATTCAGATGTATAGACAGATACACAGACACACACGTGTGCTCATACACACACATGCAAACCCAAGCACTCACAAATGTGCACACCCAGATGTGTGCAGACAACAGGCGTGTGCACACACAGCTGTATCAAACTGTCTCCCTCCCTCTTTCTCTACATGAAACCACGACTAGAAGCTGGTGCCTCTGGGTGTGCCCCATGCCACCGCCTCCTGCAGGCCTCCGTCCCCTCCTTGATAACTCTGTGTTAAAAATCTGGCTCCCGTTTTCCACAATAATCGAAGCCCTTGCTTAGTCTAGAAGCTTGGAATTGACTCCTCCCCCCACTCCCCCCAGGAAAATCAGGTTTGCCAGCGGAGAGCAGGGTCCGTCGCACGTGTGGTTGGCAGAGTCCCCGGGGCACGGCTCTCCCACCACCTGTTCTGTGTGCCACGCGTCTCTGGCAAAGTCAGGCTCCTTGCTGCTGTTTGCATCTCTCTTTGGTCTCCTCAGGTTATTGATTTTAGATGTTTATATTTGAACATGGGAGCATTCGCGTGGTTTTAGAAGTCATCATGATAGAAAAAGGTTCATACCAGACACTGCTAGTGGCCCGCCACGCGCATGCCCAGTGGGCCAGCCCCAGGAGCCCCATGTTCCCCTGGGCACACGGGAAGAGATATGTGTCAACTCACATCCCCTCCTTTGTTAGATGAGGGCACCCGCCCTAAATCTCCAGGCTCTGCTGTGTGCCCGCACACCAAGCTGGGAGCCCATGCCCACCCGGGATGGAGCTGGTGCTTGGGTCCCAGCTGCCGCGCTCCCCTGTACGGGAGAGCCGCACCTCGTGCCCGCCGTCTGCCTACTTGCTTCCATTTTATGTTTCCAGTTCCGCACGGTGCCACGAGCAACAGCCCGCTGCCCGTGTGTTTACATATTGGTGGCCACATGAATTCTCATAATCGGGAAGCAGGGTCAGCAAACAAGTGACTCCGTGGTCTTGATAGTGCCGTGACGCCTGACCCGATACATGCAGGATGACTTTCTAGAGCACAGTAACTTTTAAAGTTTATTTATTTGAGAGAGAGAAAAAGTACAAGTCATGGAGGGGCAGAGAGAGAGGGGAGAGAAAGAATCCAAGCAGGCTCTTCACTGTCAGTGCAGCGCCCAACACGGGCTTGAACCTACAAACGGTGAGATTGTAACCTGAGCCAAAGTCCAACACTTAACCAACAACCACCCAGGCGCCACCAGAACACGTTTTTTTTTTTAAATTTTTTTTTTAATGTTTTATTTATTTCTAGGACAGAGAGAGAGACAGCGTGAGCAGGGGAGGGTCAGAGAGAGAGGGAGTCACAGACTGAAACAGGCCCCAGGCTCTGAGCCGGCAGTCAGCACAGAGCCCGATGCAGGGCCCGAACCCATGAACCTCGAGATCATGACCTAAGTGAAAGTCGGACGCTTAACCGACTAAGCCACCCAGGCGCCCCCACCAGAACACATTTTTAAATAAAACTTGAAAATGATATTAGTATTTCAGCTTAATATTTGAAAATAAAATATGAATGAAATGTTCATAAATATCTAATCAAAACACTGTCTACCTGTTTTTTCCATGTCTGTCATCAAAGAACCCAGTACTGACGAGAGTTACCTCCAGCTCAGCAATCCTGAGGGTTACGGTGAATCGCAGTTTTCTTCAGGCGGTAAGGACAGTTTCCAATGACGATAAGTGACTCGCTAACTACCCCTGCCTGTGTGTCAGGGAGACACGGGGCAGGAGAGTCTGCCTGCCTCGCCGTGGTTACAAATGAGAACCTCTCTGTCCTGTGCGCTTTATCTGTTTTCTGTGTATATATGAGTGCTGTTGATTTTTGTAGGCTAAGTTTTATCCTGATGCCTTCTTACCTCTTCCATTGCTTTAGTTCATTTTAACATTGCTGCTTTAGGGTTTTCTAAACATACTGCATGATCAGATACAAATAGAATTTTCTTCTTTACCAATGTTCATGCATCTCATTGGTTTCTCTTGTCTAGTTGCATGGGCTCATGTTTCTAGAATAATGGTTGGAAGTAGCAGAGTTGGTGGGTGTCAGTGCCTCATTCACAGTCTGAGCAGAAACACCTCTTGTGTTTAGCCAGTAAGTAAGATTCTGGGTTTTGGACAAAGATGTATATATTTTAAAGAGTAAAGAAAGTAGATCAACCTTTTTACATTTTGTTTTGGTCTTTTTCATTATCTTTGGCAATGCTCAAGTTTTTTCTTTATATCTATTAACGTGGTGAATGATGTATTCATGGATTTTCCAATATTGAACCAACCTTGCATTCCTAGAACAAATCTCATTTAGCCATAGTCATTATTTTGCATCCTGCTCATCAATGTTTTATCTAGTATTTTTGCACCCAAAACAGTTCATAGGTGGTATTTAGTCTGTAGTTGATTAGGGTTTTTTGGTACTTTTTATCAGATTGAAATGTCAATGTGACACCTGGTTCATAACAAAGAAGTTAAATTTTTTTCTTCCTTTTTGAACCTCTTAGAAAATTTAAAGAGCATTGAAACTATCTGGTCTTTTCAGATTTGTTAGAAATGGCCTGTGAAACCATCTCATTCTGGGGCTTTTCATAGAGTAATTACTCAGTAACTTTCTCTGTTTCTTGTAGGGAAGGTGATTAATCTTAATCAAAAGGAGTCAGTTTTAGCAATCTATATTTTTTAGAAAATCATCCATTTCTTCTGTGTTCTCAAACATATTTGCAAAGAGGTCTCCAACTCATCTCATTATTTTGAAAACACCATTTATTTCCCCCTTGTCATTTCTTATTTTATAATACATGCTCTTTCTTATTCTTCTTATCTGGTAAACCAGCATTTTTGCCTAATGTATTAATTTTTTCCCAAGATCTAGGGTATTGACATATTAACTAACTGCACTGAGTTTCCAGACATTATTTATCTCTGCTTTCTCATTAATGTTTCCTTCTTTACACTTTTTTTGTAGTGACCTTTGTTGCCCCTTCCCTGTCTTCAGGCTGAGGAGCCCACTTACTTCATTTTACCCATACGTGGTTGGTGCTCTGCTCTTTAACGTGTCCCATAGATTCTCACAGATCATGTTTTCATTGTTATTGCCTTCCAGAAACTTTACAAATTTTAGTGCATATTTTCTTTTTATGCAAAAGTTGTCTAATAAAACATTTTCTGATTTCCAGGTAGAATGACCTTTTCTCTTTGTTTCTGTTCATAATTTCTAGTTTCATTATACTATGATCGAGAAGCGTTTTCGTAGTGCTACTGTGTAGCCGACTTACGTTTTCTTTGTGACCTGATGTGTGATCAATTTCTGTGAGTGCTGTGAGAGCACTGACAAGGTATGCGCTCTGCCAAGGGGGGAAGGGTACTTGCCGTATTTGCTTACTGATGGTGTGACTCAGGCTCCTCTCTGCTCACCTCTTGTTTTCTCCCCTAACTTTTTCCTAGAAGGGGGTATAAATTCACCCACTATAAATGTGGTTTTTTTACATATACTTGCATTTTCTATAGTTTT